GCCGCCGGTGGAGCGGCCGGACGGCGAGGGGCCACCGGAGCTCGGCGCGGCCGCGGGTCCGCAGGACGAGCTGAGCCTGGAGCAGATCCTGCGGCTCTACAACCAGCCCATCAATGAGGAGCAGGCGTGGGCCGTGTGCTTTCATTCCTGCGGCTACCTGCGCGCCGCCGCCCGCCGCCAACCCCGCCGCCGCGTGCGCTCGGCCGCGCAGATCCGCGTGTGGAGGGACGGCGCCGTCACCCTGGCGCCCGACGAGGGAGAGCCGCCCCCCGCCACGGGTGAGCTCGCGGCCCCGCGCCGAGCCTCAGGCCCCACCCCTCGGTGACCCGGGAGGACGGGCGAGCGGGCGGCGGGAGGCCGAGTCCCTTGCGCGCACGGCCTGCTGACCCCGTGTGCGCCTTTACCGGGCGGTCCACCCGGCTGTGCTGGGGTTGTGATAAGGTGTCGTCGCGATCCCCAATGCCGGAGTCAGGGAAATGACACCTTTGGGAAGGCATAGTCCGGGCGTAGTATTTTAAGTTTGACAGTAGTCTTTGGGAATGCCCAGAAGACATCTGAAAGCCTGAGAAATTCTGCGATTTGGGAGAAATAGAATTTAAAAAAAAAAAAAAAACACCTGACTTCGGGTACGGGAAGTTGAAGAATAGCTATTATCTGCCTTAGTGTTAAAATTGGTTGTGATGAAAAATGCAGACTTTTGAAAAGTTGACAGGATGTTCGGATAAAAGAAAATGCATTTTAGAATGTAAATTCTTCATCGTTCGTCACCTAACCACTGATACATAACCAGGAGCTTACTCACATGGTGTATTGATGGCAAGACTGGTAATAGGTTTTTCCTATTCGGTTTTATCTAATTCAAACTTTGAGAGGCAAATCTATTAAAACCCTAGAAAAACAACCCACCTTCACTTCTAGAAAGTTGATGGAAGTGTCAAAATGCTTATGGTAAAAGATGTAATTAAGAAGTCTGTGAATTGACATTTAATGAAAATCGTTTTCTAAATTGATGAAAACATTCAATCTCTGTTTTGCCAGAATGCTGTTTCTCTCTTTTTTAGTTCAAGGAAACCTAGTTTTATTTATTTAAAACAAGCCCTGTGTTAAAAACCTAAATGTACTCTTTTCAGAATACCATGTTATGTTTTGATCCATCTGTACGTTGAATGATATTTAGAGCCAGCTTTTCAGTGTTTCTTGTGAAAATTTTTTTTTTTCAAACAGTTTAGATTTGTTACTTGAGTTTAGACTTGGTCTTAGTAAATTATAATTTCAGTTGTAATTTGCTTCCGGTATAGTATAATATGAAAAGATATATTTTTCAAAACTACAAGGCCTTGGTTCTGAACTATTGGAAGAAGAAAAAAAGTTGTGTGCAACCTTGCTCACAGAAGAATCTCTGGTAGTACTGAGAGATGAGCCCTGTTGCATGGCCAGTTCAGGAACGTAATCTCAAAAGTTTCCTTTAGTTGTCAAAGACTGATAGATTCTGGTTGCCATTGTTGGGATCTTTTATATGATTAGTTTGAGTTTAGTGCACTATGAAGAGAATAGTAAATAGATGTTTTTTAGAAACCGTAATGGATTTTTAAAATTTTAACTTACTTAAAATTTTTTATTATCGTGTGAATGTGCATGATTGTGTGTATAGGAGTGCACCTGCCACAATGCATGTGTAGAGGTTAGAGATTGACAGTTTTGTGGCATTGTCTTCTTCCACTTTTATGTGGATTCCAAGCATCAAACTCAGGTGGCCAAGTTTATGTGGCAAATGCTTTACCCACTGAGCCATCTTGCTGGCCCACTATTTATTTATTTACATTTTTTTTTCTTTTTTGGACCTTCATTTTTTAAAAAAGTTATTTATTTAATAACCATATAATTAGAAGAAGCATTTCATTACAACAGCATTGACATATTCAATAACAATTTCCAGAGCTAAGATGCATCTCTT